TAAAGGAAAACAGAATAAATTCGTTTAGGTGTACTACTCTATCTTGGTGTAATTATGAAATGGACCTACTTTTAAAATTTTCACGAAATAAGAAAGTCGTGCCTTGTGGATTATTTGCAACTTTATCCAAAAAAGAGCTAGTGATAAGTAAGGAGAGACAATAGAATAAAAACAACTTTTGTATATCATTCCAAATAGAAAACGCGTCTATGATACGTCGCAGTTCTACCAAAATACTCTCCTTCATTACTTTTACAAAGGTATCGTGATGTTCAAACGAGTATCCATAGATTTTGCAGCCGAATGATATTAGTCACGAAATAAATAGGTAATTATTTGTATGTTGGTAGTTTGATTGGTGTATTATTTGGTCGTTCAAAGGAGAAAACTTGGATGATATTGAATTCGAACACTGTTGATAGACAATAGACTAATTTAACTTGTTATAATATTATATGCTCGAATTTTTTTGGTTAAATAGTAATAATTAATTGGATGTTGATATGTTAGTGTAAAGTCAAATCATAAAATTAATACTATTATATTGAATAGTTCAAGCGCTAATTTTGAAAATTCATACTGGTAGGGTATATCGATATCGCACGGAGAGATCGGCCACTATTCCATGCAATATTATTGTATCAATAGCCCAAATCATTTTATATAGTGTTTTTAGTCGCATTTAGGTATCTTCAACCCACTCCAAAATGAAGTAAAAAATAGGTTTATTCTAAATATGAATTAATCCTATTTATTACTTTATTTTTTTGTTCTTCACTCCATTTTTTACTCTAAACACAATTTCATTTTAAAGTTATTCTATTTTGGAATAAAAAATTGAGTTTTGGGTTGGAAATGGTCTTAGATACGTCCATGTTTATGTTTTTTTTTATATAATAGAAAATTTCCAAATTTTTACCATCCGACTAATATTCAAGATGAATGTGACCGTCGAAATACGTCCATTTCACAAATAAAGGAAAAAATGTGTACTAGATGTTAACGAATATTTTATTATATACTACTTTAGTAGTTTTTTATTTATTTTAAAGTTATGTTGTAATTTTAAAAAGTAAGTTTTTAATTGTAATTTAATTATTAAGAACAACATAATTCGTTATAGTATACGAAATGGCCCGCGTGCTCGACAAAGCTTTTGAATCTTTTTTTCGTGCGTGTCTCATATTGAAACCCAAAAAAAAGATAGAAGGATTTTGGGTACCTTTTATTTCACCTTTTGGGTTCTTGTTTTGAACTTCAGTGTAATAGTCACTTTAATCTGGATAAAGTATAGTATACGTTTCTTCCGACTCACAACAGTTTCTTAAACCTTTTATTTTTGTATTTATATAGATTGATGTTTTCTAAATTATAATATAATTTTTTTCGTTAATGTTTCTTTTTTCTTTTGTAAAAAATCTGGGTCATTTTTTGAATTGTGTTAATGTTTTTACAATCAAATTTACATGACATTTTTAAAAAAAGCTGTTGTGGAATTATTAAAAGTTAGAAGTTAAAGGATATATTGCATCTCTGAACGAGTTTTGCAGCATGTAATAAAATGATGGCATCCAAATAATAACATGAAAATGATCCAAATGGAAAGCGGTAGCCAAAATTAGGGTCTAAATGGTAACACAATTCCGCAAACGGAAAGTGGTAGCCAAAATTATGGTCTAAATGGTAACACAATGTCCCCTAAGTATAAATGTAGTGTGATTAAATCTTCCTAAATTTGCTTGATAATTCTAAAATAATATTGTAATAATTCTATAATTTTATTGATAATTCTAAAATAATATTGTAATACTTACGGTATCCATTTAAAAAAATGCCACTAATTATAGATTTTTAAAACTTAAATCTTAAAATTATAACCCCTAAAAAAATGTTTTGACCCCTAAAACTTCCTAAATCCTCAAAACTAAACCCTAATACAACATAGTTAGCTTGAACATAAATGATCTAATGAATTTTTTTTGTTGAAAAGTGACATTTTTACAAAGATTTTAAAAATGTGGAAGTTTTGAAATAGTGA